GCATTACAAAGCAGTCATTTATGTGGCTGCAGTGTAGACATGCCTTTAGGTTTATGAATGCTTTGTGAGGGTGGAGCAGAGCAGAAGCTAGAGTCTCTGTCCAACTATAAGTCTGCTTTGTCATATATCTCATTGTTATTGCTTAGTTTCTGTGGTTTTAAAATAGTAGCTGAGCTATCACATTGTTGTTATCTGTGTTAATACTTTGTGGTTTGATTCTGAAATGTCTAGCAGCTAAAACTCCAGGTCTAGCCATAATATACACTATAACATTTAATCATTTAAAAAGCAGGAACAGAAGATTTTAGGTTTTGGAAGCCTTTCATGTCAGGAATATCATCTAATTGTTTCAAAAAAGATGATTTACATTGTTTGAAGAATTTGAGACCATAGAAAAGCCTCAGACAAAAAAAAAGACTATTGCTATTTATATTTAGGAAGGTACAACACACACTGTCTGTAGGAAAAAGGGGAAACTGATGTTTTAAGACTTTGACTAGCAGTCTTCATTAGAGCAGAAAGAATTTCTTCTCTGGATGAAAATAAATAATCATGTCAGATATGTAGAGAATTGAGCTGTTTGGGACTGTGTTTAGTTTTACGTGGGTAAAAAATCCTTTGCTATTCAATTTTAGCTTTACTACCTGGATATAGAGGCCAACTGAAATTGGGGTCCAATTCCTCAGCTTTACTGAGGTTTTGATAAATGATCCCATTCTTTTTCTGTCTCGAGTTCAAAATGAGGTAGAATTTATTCTAGTTTTGGAAAATCCAAATCAAGATTTATTTAATTCTCAAAGTTGAGTAGGTGATAGGACTTGACATAATTTGGGCCTTTTTCAACTTTTTTTCTTACCATTTAGGTATATTTTCCACCTTTAGTGGTTGCTGTGTTCAGCTAATCTGTCAATTTAACCAAAGCAACAATTTCACAATGTAGTTTTCTTTCTGATTGTGTGCTGTGTAATCAATATACTGATATAATGTGAGTGTAATTTCCTCTCTTATTTTATCTCCACTGCACAGTATTATAAATAAACAGCTAAAAAAGAAAAAAGAAAGAAAAGCACCAAACAAATCTGTTGCATCTTCTTTTAAGATTGTACTACTGTAGACACTTGTTCTAGTAAAGTAGAATTGGACCCACTTGATTGCATTTAAATTTTTCATGCTTCAGCAGTTTGTCTGGGAGCACAGTAAAGAAAACCCCCCGAGCGAGGATAGTTTAGAATAATAGAACTTGATTTTGTGTATTATAGCGGCACCATTTGCGCTGCTGTAGTTAGGGTTGTGTCAGCACTTCCATTATAAACCCCTGTTTGCAGGGGTTATAACTAGGGAGATATTTTTTATCAGAAACTTTTTTTTTAAATCATTCGAGTGACTTTAATTGATAATAGGAGAAAAATAAAATAAATTATAATGGAAATTAATAAATTTCTAATACCTTTTACAGGCCTTATTTATTATGAATATTGATTTTTTTTTTTCCCCTCCCCTCTCACCAGGGATTTTAGCAAATGCATTTTGAATATTTTAAATGTAAAATTGGGAAGTTATTGTGGCTTAAAATTTGACTGCTATTCATACTCATATTTTAACATTAAAACATTTAACACAACAACCTGCTCTGTGGTTTAATGTTATCATAAACATAAACTACTCAAATGGGCCAGATTTTTCTCCCTTTGAATCTGCTGAGACCTTGGAGCTGCTGGCCAAACTCTGCCTTTGGACCTGCTGGAGTTCTGTGTACAGAATTCTCCCATTTAAGTGAACACAAACAGGTAACGAGTGAAAGCCTGCATGAGGTAATTGACTGGATAACACTCAGTTGCAGAGTTTATATTTACTCTGTTTTACTGATTATAAACCCAGGTGCGATCAATATTTGGTGCATAACCTAGCACCCTCAGAAGACATGTACACATGAGGTGTATTGATTGAGTTAATGATTGTGCTGGGAAAAGAAGGTGGAGGACTTAATTGAGCAGGGTCCTACATCTCTGTCCCTTTTACCCCAATGTTTGAAATCTAGCAACCAAAAACCTGAAAGGTACCATTAAGTGCTGACCTCTGACCATAATTAATGCGCTAAATCTTGCTGTTTTAACAAAGGTTTGGGGGCAAACAGAAGCAAAACACACCCCTGAAAATTATGCCATGAGGTGAGCAAGTGCCTGGCAGGCCAGTCTGAGCTTGTCTGTCTTTTCAGGCTCCAAGACTATAGGTAACTGAGTAAAGTGCAGTTATGAATATGTGTCTGACCATAATGCAACAGTGGAGAAAGGGGATAGGTGGAGATAGAAAGCATTTGAACCCTGCTCTTGGTCCATTCTCTTAGTCTAGCACAAAAAAAAGTTGCTGAGCATCACTTGAGATTATTAGTGAATGTGACATTAGCAATATCATTTCATTTTTAAGGTTAACGGAGTTCCCTTTTCTCTATGTAATCAAACAGCAGAACATGAATAGAGATTTTTATTGAATTGTGTTTAAAACATCATGAATAAGAGGAAAGTATATTAGTGTACATGGAAAAGAAAAAGTCTTTCCTTGTAGTGCATTACCAGTAGATAGCTTTACTGAATGGTCACTTGAGGAAATACCAAAAGCCTGTTTATGAAATAGAGGTGAAGCCTTTCTAGACTAATTACATTCAGCATGTAATTTCTAAACTTCAGTCTGAATTTTGATTTTCAATTAACATTCCCAATTTGAAGATAATTTTCTATTTAATGTAATTGCAGGAAATAATTTATTGGCTGATTAAGACTGAGGGCCCAGCCTTCCTTAAGAAAACAGTCCCTAACAAACCAGCCTTTAAAGCCAACTCGTAGCTTTGGACAGATTCAGCCTATTTTTGCAGCTGCAGAGTTGTGTTTAATTAGGATTGTGCACTATTATTCATTGGTGCAGTTTGTAGTTGAAATTATTCTTAAGAGACATTTCCATTTCTAGTTTTGTGTCATGATTTATTTATGGTGGAGAAACAGCCATAGCTATTGCTTTTCACAGAAGCTCGTTCAGTTTGAAACAGCAATGAGATCTGTTGAGAAGGTGAAAGAAAGGAAAACCCTTTATTGTGACTTTCAGTTTTCATGTCTGGTTTTCAAATTGCATAGAGTGTTGACTTATATTTTAATGTGAGTGATTACATTAAGGTGACTATTTTAATGAGAAAAGGGAAAGTGAACCTTTTATTTTATCTCAGATCATAGTAATTATGAACCAGAACCTTTTGAAGTACGTAGAATAATGCTGGTTGCTGAACTCTGGGCATGTTCTCTGTAGCATCAACACAAATTCTTTAGTGTAATAAGAATGTAATACATGGTTTAAATTCCTTGGTTCTGCTTATTGGCAACATTAACGTTAGACTCCCACTTACACTTAGGCTCCCCTGAAGAAAATGCAAGCCTTTTTTTCCCCACCACTATTGAGTTTGAGGCAGGATTATCTCTATTTACAGAATAGTTACTCTAAATAGGTATCAGTGTTTTGATATGTTTCAAAGCATTTCAAAGCTTGTAATACTTTCATATAGAACTGTACATAATTAGATTAGTTGATCCTATATTAATTTTTTTTCACTGTAGGATACTAGATCTGAACTCCCTCATTAATTGTGAGAAATTTAACATTAGCTGTTAAATCCTATGTGAAACACAGGCTGATACCTAAAAACTACTGTTTAAATTGGGATTAACTTAATTATTTTTCTTTGCACTTGATATTTCCTTCACTGTAATATTCATGAAAGCATGTGACAGATTTGTAAATTTAACTGTTAGTCTCAGATTTCCAGACCCTTTAATCAGTATTTATTTGTCTGTAGAAACAGTACTAGCAAGTTAATGATTTGCTAATTTGAAAAATGCTCATGCGGTTTCCTATGTTAACTGATTTGTGCATTTTTAAAGAAATGGTATGAAATCAATTATTGTTAAAAAGCAATTAAGGTGAAGATCTTATTCCTTAGTTTCTCAGCAATTTCAGTGTCAAGGATATTCTAAAGTTACTAAAACCTGGGAAAATAGCGAATATATTTTAGCTGTCTTCTTTCAGCTTTGTTAATGATTATTTTAACAGTTGCAGTTAATCTTATTAGAAATTTTAAGCAAAGTGTTTTCAGATTTTGAGCTGAAGTCAGTTATATTTTCATTTAAGTGCAGAAACTGTGGTGAAAGCTGTGTTTGCATATGAGATGGTAGTAAGAAGCCATTATTAGGAAAAGACATTTAACATAAATCAGTGCATGTATTCATTACACTTTTAAGTTATTTAAAGTAATTTGTTGAGCTATATCCTGTACTCAATGCCTAATATGAAATGAAGCATAATTATTTTAGATTTTTAGTTCAAACTGTAAAAAATTACTCAGATATTATCCATCCATTCAATAAACCATTCAGTTTTAGAACACTTTTCACATGAATGTCTCAAAACACTTTCGGAAAAGTAAAACTGGGTAAAATTTTAAACAAGTTAAGAGCAGTTACAGCTTTAAACAAACAGCAGAAGGACTTGTTTAGCAGAATTTGAAATGGTTTTAAAAATTCTCATCTGTGTAGAAAACATCTGCTTGCAAGGAATGAGGTTAGGAAAGTACGATGGACTCTCTCATTTAAACATTTGCTTATAACCTTCAGAGTGCTCATGGGAGTAAGAGTTTAAAGACTCTAACTCTTATGCAAAATCAACATAAAAATACCAATAAAACCACTATTTTCTTATGCCTGGAGAAAATGAAGTTGTTTGACAAGTCGAAATGAATAGAATGACATCATATAACTTAACCCTGACCTTGACTTGGCATCAATGAATACTTTATCTCAGCATTTAGGATCCAGATCCCCCAAACCTGCACTTTTTAGAATACTTTTATTGACAGCATATGATTAATTTTTAACTGTTGTAGGCAAGCGTGGTGTGCTTACAGGAGTATTTTGAGCTGGATTTTTTTAATTTAACACCAATCTTTTCTTTTTGTTTGCTTTTCTTGTTTTGTAGAAGAATGTCTTCCAAGCAGGCTACCTCTCCATTTGCATGTGCAGCTGATGGAGAGGAAACAATGACCCAGGACTTGGCATCACGAGACAAGGAAGAGGGCAACAGTGATCAGCATGCGACCTCTCATCTGCCTCTACATAACGTAATGCACAACAAACCTCACTCTGAGGAGCTACCAACTCTGGTCACGACCATCCAACAAGATCCTGAGTGGGATGGAGTCATCTCAGCCCATCACAGAATGGTGAGTCTCACAGTTCTCACAGTGGCTTTCGAAATTAGTATTGTAAAAGACTATTCACTTCCATTTTGAAAGACATGTTCAGTACAATCCTTCATGAGTGTAAAGCTTTTTAAATGTTAAAGTGTCAGTGTTAGTAATAGAGCAACATCAGTATGGTGTAATTGTAAATTACAATTGTATAATCTTCTTAAGTATACAGGTCTATATGAATGAGGTCATTTGATGAGTTCACCTTCGGAAAGGAAATGCATCTATTTATCATGTTTTCATTCATACCTTGATTTATGTCATAACCTCTCTAGCTCATATATTCAAGCATTAATTTCTGACAGGAGAATGTAGCTCACAAATGTTTGTCATCTGCAAAGTGTTGTGCTGAAGGAAGAAACTTTAATGTATTTATTTACTTGTCTCTCAGAAATGGAACCCACCAAATGTAGAATATTATAGCTTTACACCGCAACAAAGAAGCTGGCATTTTAGGTGACATAAACATCCTGCTGTATTTATAGGAAATTACAACTTTTTGTGGAGGGGAAAGGTGTTTATGAGTAACTATGTCATGCTCTTCTATTCTAGAGCACCAGTTTGTATATAGGTGATGTTAACAGTGATCAGAATTATTATCTGTATTCTCTTTCGTAGCCTAGATAAAATTATTTTGCAGTTGTAATTCTGTCTCTGCATCACCAAAAGTCTGCAGTAAATGGGCAGACTGAATGAAGACTGAATGGGCATAGCATGTCAGTCAATTTATTTTCCTTGCGTGTGTTCCTCAGGAACAGAATTAAGGTATGTGGAGCAGCCAGGTGTTCTGTAAATTTAGAACATCATAATTCCAGACTCTCCATAAAGTGACTTTCACAGACATTAAATTCACAGAGTTAGTTTAAAAAGAATACTCTGCCTTTTCATAAAATTTCTTCCGTGTTTTTATTAAATGTCTATGGATTTTTTTTCAGCAAGTAATTTTTTTTTTTTCAGTACAAATTAGCAGCTTTCAATAAGGTTAAAAACAATTGTAGAATTTTTTTGACAGCACTAGCAATAATGAACTTGTTCCAAATTTGACTAGAAATAATAATTCTAATGCATTAATCAACATAGATACTGGAATTCTTCACGCACAATGTGATGCCTGGAATTAAGTAAATGATAGCACTACAGTAATATCTATTTTGTTAATATAGTGGTTTTTTTTTCTTTCTAAAATCCAATTGGTTCGAAAGATCAAACCAAACCAGAAAAATGCTACTTAATGTGTAATGTACAATTTAACCCAGTGCAGAACTTTGTCAGGCCTAAAATATTCCTAAGTATTTGGCCAACCGTCATGAAGAAGGCAAAATTTCAACTGTAAAAATGGCTTTAAAGAAAGATGATTATAGGTTAGTAATTTGGCAAGGTAGGTTGTAAGTTTGTATATACGGCTTCTCTGCAGCATTCTGAGGTGGAACCTCATTTTGCATGGAGAGTCACTCTTTTGCCCAAGTCATGCGATAAGCACGTCAGAATAATTTTAACTTCTGTGTTATCAGGAGGAGAAGCTGGATGCAGACTAGAAAGGATTGATTATTTGTTGATGAAAAAAATAAATCTGTGAATTCATCAGCTACTTTCCTAGTCCTTCAGAGAGGTGTGTGCACTCTGGGCATTTCGGTCTTAGGACACCAATAACATTGATAAAATGACTCTGTGTCCCAGAGGTAAAGGAACTCCTAGCCTCTTCTTTGAGTCTCTCAAAGCATTTGGTTTTGGTTCGGGCTGTTCCTTGGACCTGGAGTAATGCTTAAGCCAAAATGATAAGACCTCTCATAGTATGATCAGTTGTACTCATTTCTATTGCTCTGAAGTGGGTTTCCACTTGCAGCAACAGAGTGCAATCTCTGTTTTCTTCCTTAATGGTGCACTATCATGTCAACACTTGCTGTACCTCTGGACAGGCATGAATCAATACCCAACTTATCATGTTTCAGAACAGGTGCATAAACTTTGCTTGAGTGACTTAGCACTCTGGGTTTCCTCTCTCCTTGTTTCAGTAAGTATTCCATCATGTATGTAGATAAATGTCCTGAAAATCATTAGGAGTTTCCACAATTCCCTTGGGTTAAATCTGGTGGTGGATGTATGTCATCCTTATTTAGGTAGCAGCTAAACCAAACAGACCTTTTTTGCCCGGCTCAAAGCTGGATATAATTTACAAGGCTTGGCTAGAAGTGAAAACTGAAGTTCTAAGGCATGCTGTTTGGTTGCACTTAAAAAAGAACTAAAATATACAAAGCAAGGTCCCAGTGTACTTACAGTTTGGGTGAGTTAGATGACTTGTTAGATCGCAACGGTGAAGTGGTGAAAAAAATTTTTTTTTTCCTTCAGAGACTGTCATTTAGGGTAACTTGTTTAATATTTTTTTTTTTAAATTATTATTTTCTCCCTTATTTATGTCCTTCATGAGCAAACATTTAAGCCTCAATTAATTGCATAAAGGTTCTCTGAAACACCTCAGTCTCCAAGCACTCGTCAATATTGCTAAGAAAGAATTCAGAGGTGCCTGCAATTTTCCTGATGAAAGCAATTTCATACTTCTTTAAGGGAGGATAGGAGTTTCTTTCCAGAAAGACAAATTCCAGAAGGTGGATTGGGCAATTTTGAGATAGGTGCTGTGGTAGTGACCACTTTTCTACTTAATAAAACCAAATTCCCAGAAGGTAAGCACTTTCTGACCTTTCCCAGACGGATCCTTTCAAAGCAGATTTGAAGAAGCACCTGCTCATACCATTTACACTGAAAGTAAAGACAGTAGTGCTGTCATTAAAATGCGTCAATAATGTGCGTTGTCTGGTTATAAGATAGTAAATTCAAAGAATGCTGTGTCGACATATGGGGAGGAAAAAAATTTTCTTTTATGTGGTATCTAATTAAGAGCACAATCCTGCATCCTTTGTGCCCTTAAAACTACTAAGGAGTTCAGTGGAATTTGTGAGGGAACACAGTATGCATCGTAACATGCTACGAGGGCTGTACAGATCTTAAGTGAAAAAAAGATAGTGTAGTAGGGCAATTTGACTGAAGAAAAAAGATTGAGTTTTTTCCCAACATTTATGATATGCAGCACTTTCTGTAATAAAAGATACCTTTAAACTACATTGTGTATTATCATAAAAAAACCACATTGGCTAGAAATGTTTTCAAACTTTCACTCCCTTTTGATATCAGGCATTGCTTTCCACTGAGTCCTTTGTGTATTCTGAATGTCTGGAAGCCAAAATATTTTGTTTTAACTCCCACTCTATAGTATTTCCCAGCTGTGTACTTATATGGTGTAATAAAAGGATACAACAAATGGGAAATAGCAGCTGCATTTGGAAATTCCCTTTGTGCTCCCTTTTCATTTGACAGATTCAGCAATGTGTAACAACTGTAACGTCAGACCTGCGAGTCTGCGAGTATAGTATCGCCAGCCAATTTGATGTTACAGTGGGGAGAAAATAAAACAACCGAAAGATTTCTGTAATTTCATGTTGCTTAGCTGAAAAGATTATATGTATATTTCTAACTGTAACTTAACATGAAAATACCTTGACATATGGGTATTTATTGCTGCCTCTAGTTCTATTAGAAAATAAAATCTATTTTAGGCTAAAGACGTATCTGTTTGCTGCAGTAAACTGTAGGGAAGAGGGCAAAGTGGTACTACGATAATGAGGAAAGTATCCTGCTTCTCCCATGGACAGCGAGTAGCAGGCAAGAAATAAAGTCAAATTTTTAGATTGCATCCAAAACCTGGCTCTCCTGGGGCAACAAACTGAGAGAGGATAAGGGAGGAAAGCCAACAAGACTCACTTTTGCTCAATTTAATAGTAACTGAATTGTTGTATCCCAATAATACATTTACTAGTAAATATATAAAGAAATGTGCTTTGTTCACTGAGGAAGCAGGAAAGGTCCCCATCTTCACATAGAACCCTGCACTGCTTGTGAAGTAAGTTACGAAGCTTTTTTATTTTTGCTCTGGAGTATCAGGAGAAAGCAGTGCCAACAACAAGATACAAAATTAGATGGACAAGTCATCTGATCTTCTTTAAGGAATAGGATGGTGTAGTCTCATGGCTGCAAAGGCTTGTGAACAATAAATTTGAGCAGCTTTAACCTAATTAAATCTGGAATCTTTCTCCAAATTGCAGGATTCCACCCCCCCACCCAGTAAAAAGAAGAGAGAGTCAAATTCTGTGCCCATCCCCAACCCCAATATGACAATCTGGTAGCAGACAGCTTTTGTGAAGAACTCGCAGGCACTGTACTGATCACTAATTATGATGTGTATCACTGTGGTCTCTGTAGTCTTTTCTTTTCCCACTGATGTTCCTCCCCTGCCCACCTCCATACGGGTTATATAGGCAGCGTGCACACGCACAGAATGAGGGCACCCACGTCTTTATGCTCTGCTGTTCCTTGGAATGCTGCAATGAGAGTCTGTTACAGGGAACCACAGCAGCAACTCAAGTCTAAAGGACGGGTGTTTTTTCCCTGTGACTGAGGAAAACCAAACACACATACATATACAAATACAAGTTAATTACCTCCAAATATATGCTATGTTTCCTTATACATTTTGTAACATCATTCCGAGACCCCTTGGATGTAGAAATGAAATGTATCTCATTGAATTTTATCTCAAATGGTAACATTGACATATATTTCATAATTATGTTGACTCTGTCTTTTGTTGACTTCTTGCCAAAAAAGTAAAAGGCTTGCTACCTTTCCACTGTATCTGCACATAGGTCTCAGCAGTACTGATAGCAGATTTGTGTATGCAATAGGAAAAGTGAAGATCTGTTAATGCCACATGTATTTGTTCCTTTTAAAATAATTTTAAATCACCAAGCATCAAATTTAACTTTATATAGCATTAGCAAAACTACTGGCATCAGAAAGGCAGAAATAGGTGGTATCCTGAAGGTCTTATTGTTTCAGTGCTTACTGTCTCCACATAAAGCAAG